AAATCTGAATAGAAAGGGTACATGTTGTGTTCAAATACAAGATGTACATTTTCTACTGAGGAAATCTGCTATTCGAGAAGAGAGTACCCGCACCGTTTCAATTTTCGAAAAAGGCGTAAGGACCGCGGCCTCCTCGGCCTCCTACGGGGAGCTACCGGTCCTCTGCGTTCCTGGCCCTTGAAAGCCCCAAAATCTCAAAATGCCCACCCTCCCGACGACCACCGACGTTGAAATCTGAGTGACGTTGAAAATCTCAGGGGGGGAAAACGCAACCCTGACGGGCTGCGAACATTAGGGGCAAGGGGCACCTTGAAATCTCCCCTTCACAGTGAGAGGGGTCTCCTCTAGACAGCCTTAGGAGTAGGTAGTGAAAGGCAAAAACAGAAGTTGTGAGAAGAATATAGAAAGGGAAAAAAGAAAAAAGAAAAATCTTCTCTGTGATGTCCCGAAGGACGAAAGGAAAATTGCCACATGAGGCAGAAAGGCAAACGGTAGGGGGAATAGGGAAAAAAATAATGCGAGGGGGGCATGGGAGCGCGCTCTGAGGTCATTATACTCACACCAGGCTCGGGACGTGATTGACCGTCAGATGCATCTAATTGAGGTGTAGTTGCATTCAGATTCATTCGGAATAGTGCAACTGCGAGAGAGGAAAGCGCGCGCAGAGTTCTGCGAAAGGGGAAAGCGTGAGGTGTACTTCCCCGCCGTTGCAGCTTTTCTGTTTCTGTGCTTTTTTTTTTTTTTTTTTTTTAAAACTATACTCTTCTCTCAATTTTTCCTCACACTTTTCTGTGCTTTTTGGTCCACCCTGGCGCCGTCTCTCCTTTGTTTTGCAGCCCCGCCGCCACTTCAAGTTGGCAACTCACTCATCTGCCGCGCATCGGGGGGCAAGGTCCCACTTGCGCAAATTAGGAGATTTTGGCCGTTGATCTTTGCTATCTACGGTCAGTATCTCATATTCGTGCGAGTGGGACCTAGCCCCAGAAGACTGCAACAGCCTACTCCGTGAGCTATATATTTCAACGGCTGCACACATTTGTGCAACAGTCAGTTGTTTGGTTTCGGCGAGTCACGCACGTCGTGACAGTTACCTTCTTCTTCCTTCTTTCGTCCGTTCTCCTCCCTTTCATTCTTTTTTCCAGCTCCGCTTCAGCGATGGCTGCAACGGATTCAGAGTACCGGTGCTTCGTTGGAGGTCTTGCTTGGGCTACGGATGACCAAGCTCTGCAGAATGCGTTCCGCCAGTGCGGGGACGTGGTGGACTGCAAGGTCATAATGGACCGGGAGACTGGAAGGTCGAGAGGCTTCGGCTTCGTTACTTTCGCCGATGAGAAGTCCATGACCAACGCCATTAACACGATGAATGGCGCGGAGTTGGACAACAGATCCATCACTGTGAACCAAGCTCAGGCCAGAGGCGGCCGAAGCGGCGGCGGTGGCGGTGGCGGCGGTGGCTATGGCGGAAGCTTCGGCTCACGTAGAAGCGGAGGCTATGGCGGCGGCGGAGGCTACGGTGGGGGTGATCGTTATGGCAGCAGTGGGGGCGGCGACCGTTACGGCGGCGGCGACCGGTACGGTAGTGGTGGTGGTGGGTACAACGATGGAGGCTATGGCGGCGGCGGCTATGGCAGCCGCTCGCGAGGCGGTGGTTACTAGAGAGCCCCCCTTGAAACCTCTTTGCGGATCATCGTGTCCACAGGGTAATGGGGGGCGTAGGTAGTCGCCCCGCCCAGACCTATGGAGTTTCAGCCTCTCGTGTGACCCTCGTTTCCTGTTACTGCAGTGGACGTAGCTGGTGGTTTGACTCCTCCGCACAGAGGTGCTCTCTCTCCGTGAGCTTTCCTTTTCTATTGTAGTTTTTTGTCTTTTTGTTGTCGCATCCATATGGCACCTGACGATTACCAGGTACTCGATATCTGGAGTAGATTTCGGATTATGGATGTGAACGTTATAGAGGAGGTGATACGCCTTCTTTTGCAGTAGAGGAGTTGGTACGCCTTCTTCTGCAGTCTGTCACATTCTTATATCATGTGACTAATAGTAGTAACCGGGTATAGCTTTGGACTCTTGTAGTGATGATCGAGGAGCAGTGCCATACCGTGGTCCCCACTCGTGGGGTATTCTCTTTGTCGCCTTCTCCTCTCTTTCGCTCTCTTTCGCTCTCTGTCTTGCTGATCGGTTTGATTCGCTCTGCGGCACTGTTCTTGAATCGCCTCGGTATACGTACTCTTGTGTGATAGTACTTGGGAAGTGGTGATGATGACGCAATTTTGACCGATAAGTCAGTCTGGAGACGTTCCACAACTGATCGTCGTGAGGTTATTGTGTGAACAGGAAAGGCTTTTTACTGAACGGAAGGTTTCTGGAGATGTTCGGAAGAGTTCTTAACTGTTTTTAACTGAACGGAACGGAAGGTTTCTGGAATTGTTGTTTCTGGAATCAAGACGGAATGGGCTTCGAAAGACCAAGTGCGTTGGCAATGCCTCATCTGTCGATATTTCGAGGAAGGCTGTAATGACTACCTCGTGTAGCTGGAGTGTACGGATTATATGCCTTGGGTGCACAGCTATTATGGTCCTGTGAATTGAGACGGGAGTAAAGGGAAGGGTAGTTGATGGATTAGCTGCTGCCTGTGTATGTTACGATGTGAACGGAAACGAGCTGCGGTGAGTTGCCTTCTCCACTTGGAAGGTAAATGCTTGTTGGGGGCTAATTGTATGTGGCTCCCTCGGCGGCTACTTCGGATTTCCCGAGTGAGAGTGGTCTACATGTTTCTGGTAGCTGACTACATGTACCATCATCTGTTCGTTCTTTTCGAGTGGGTAGTAAGTTTTTTGATTGGGTTTTATGCAGATCGCCGTGAATTGAGATTTAAGAATTTCGTATAGATCCTCGTGAACTGTTTTTGACGGATGGACCAGATGAACATGATGATGAAGCTGCTGCTGATGATTATGTCGGAGTAGGTCCGTGTGATCAGGTTCTGCTTTTTTGACGACTGCTGCGTGTATGGTAGTTTCAGTGCGTCTTCGGTGAAGTTTCGGTTCCCCGTTTCCATGACTATGGAAGTGAGGGGATGGTTACTGTGAAGATGGGGTCGGTGTGCGGTGACGATGGGGGGGGTTTGTTGGGCTTTCGACGAGATCGGATTTGGTGACATGACATGGCATGTAAGGTGTTTTACGCTCTCTCTGTACGCGTTGGACGGTTTTTTAAAGTCCTTTGCGTGGTGCCAGAACTGTCCTGTGTAGGCGTTGTCGGGGAAGGATTGATTGTTGACTCAGGTGGTTCGTTTCTTGTATGTGGAGGGCGCGGATTTAGGAATTAGCGCCCGCCATAATTATAGAAGTAGTGAACACTGATGCAAAAGGTCACGCGTTCGAAAGGACACTCGTTCGTTGATATAAGACGTATGCAGAATGGGTGAATGGGATGGTGATGGGAAGCGTGTTACCCACGTTCGCAATCGTCTCTTCTACCTTGGTGCAACTGATATCGTTGGAGTGTCCTAGTTCGTCTTGCTTCTATGGTGATATTTCGAGGAACTACGTAAGCTGTTACTGAACGGATTCTGCGATGTGGTATGTTGCCTTGCGAGTGTTTCATCGGTCAGTCGATTCTACTGGATATTGATGATTGCGCTTTTTTCGTTTCAAGATTCGGTTCGAGGTTGGCTGCTTCAAATGGCTGCGTAGAGGTTTGGTAGAAACGGTATTTGCTCTTCAGGAGGTCAGCGACGGTTCTCGTTTGGTTCGGTTTGGTTTCGATTCGGTTGTATCGTTGTTCCACGCATGTCTGTAGAGAGGTGTGGTCGTCGTATGTTTGTTCTTGATGTGGAAGGGTTAACGTAGTGGCTGTCACACGCATGTCTGTAGAGAGGTGTGTCGTCGTATGTTCTTGATGCGGAAGGTTAACGAGTGTTCTTATTGAGTTTGGTTCGGTGAGGTCTGGTATCGGTTCCGGTTTGATCACTGTTACACGCATGGTTATTACAGTAGTACGAGGGGCAGTAAATGGTACTGTTCATTCCCAGTGGTTATGGTTCTCAGCGCAGCGGCTAGTTTTGTCGGTGTCTTTCAGTGGTTCTGGGTGGGATATTTTTGGGCGATATTTCACGTGTTGTTGCTTCTTGAGTCCGTTGGCCGTCGATGGTGGTCTTGATCCTTATTTTGCATGCCCCGTGAAGCGGTACTTATCCTCGCATGACTTTTGAAGTACGACGGTGAGTGAGGTTTAAGTACCGAGGATGAGCGTACAATGAGGATGTGTTTTTATGCTTAGCGGCTACTTCCGTCGGTCTCTATCAGTGGTTCTGGGTTGGCGAGATTTTCGGGAACATTTTCACGTGTTGTTGCTCTTGGATTCCGTTGGTTAGCGATGGGTGGTGGCCTCGATTATATTTTCCTCGCACGTGAGGAACGGTGTCTTTCGTGGGATTGTTTCGGCTCCAATTTGCGGGTGTGTTCATGGGTCGGTTTCGTTTCAGAACCTCAGCGAGATGCGGATGGAGGTGGAACTACTGGGGATGGATGATGGACGATGGCGAGCTGGAGTGATGATGAACTTTGATTGGCGCCTTCGGTTATGAATACTGCCTGACAGTCCCCGTCTTTTGGGGGATGAAGGATGCACTATGAGAAGTACGAGCTATGATGTTTGTTTTGAGGTTGGATTCAGTTCCGAGGGTTCTTTCTGATGATCGTAGGTGGTCACATATATAAATGCTGGCGGTCTGCTGATTATCTTGCTCTTGTCGCCTTGAATACGATGTTGTCTTTTTCGAAAGTATGCTTCAAGCACGCGCTTGCGATCGCTAGTACCGAATGTTTTACAAGCTGTGAATTTCTCCTCTGGACATGGTGTGTGGCTCTTGTCGCCGTGAATACGGTGTTGTCTTTTTTGACAGTATATGCTTCAAGCACTTGCGATCGCTAGTACCGAATGTTTCAAGCTGTGAATTTCTCATTTGGACATGGTGTATTATCTCCGGTGTGAGAACAAGATGAATGTTTTGATGTTTGGAATTTGAGTACTTAGTAATATTCAACGAATAAGTTGAATCATACGTGTATTATCCTTTGAGCGGACGAGGTGTTTTGTTTGGTCAGCGTCTAACATGCCAATCCTCTTTGGAACGTAGATTGAGGTTACGCATGATATGAAATCTGTCGTCTGTATTATGAACAAAACAATAGTCGCGCTTTGGATATTACGCGTGATATGAGATCTCTGTCGTCCGTTTGGTTTGGTCAGCGTCTAACATGCCAGTCCTCTTTTGAACGTAGATTGAGGTTACGCATGATATGAAATCTGTCGTCTGTATAATGAACGAAACAATAGTCGCGCTTTGGATATTACGCATGATATGAGATCTCTGTCGTCCGTATCATGAACGAGGTACTTGTCGCGCTTTGGATATGGCAGTTGTAAACCTGTCATGGAATGAGCAATTACAATGAGCAGCAATTGAATCGGCTTTTGAGGGGATTGAATGGGTGTGGTTAAAAGCTTTCTTGCCCCGCATACAACGAACGGTTATTGCAGGTGTATAAGACCTGAAAGATACGCCAAGTACCGCTATTACTCTACGTTGTATTCGGGGGAATTAGGTTGTGAGAAAATGTTGTGAGCTACGTTCTTGCACCGAATACGACGGACGGTCGTTGTCGTTGTTTGAGTACAGTTTTAATCGTTTTGCGTCGTATTCTGGGGTAGAAGGTAGTGAGGAGAACGTTGTGAGCTGCGTTCTTGCCTGGAATACGACGCACGGGCATTGTATGTCCCCGTTCTCGAATGTGCATGGTGTGCGTATGCAGTTTGCCGTGAGATGACCAACATTGACTGGGTTTCAAAACGTCTTCGAGATGTGTACAGGCTGCTGTGAAAACATGAATCGATTAATGGCGTATGTCGGATTCATTTGTTTCGTGTACACTCTCGATCTGAGATCACCCGTCCCTAGTTAGTTTTACAAATGCTTGGTTTCCAAAATTCCGAGTGATTTCGTTTGTGTTCACAATTCGATGATGGCGGTTTCTGTTTTCGTTCTATATGACGTGTTGCGTGCGTATGGGATCTTTGATTTTCTCTGCGTGGGTCCCTAAATTCCGATGGCAGCTAGTGTTTGTGCGTGCCAGGAATTTAGAGTGATAGGATCGGTGTGCCAGTGTGTGGTAGAGGTCACGGTCGCACTCGCACGGATTAAGAGAACTTGGCAGTTCATCTTTCGCTATCGATGGGCAATCGCGTAATACGTGCGAGTGGGACCTAACTCTCGTCCTCTGGATCTTGGCAGTTCATCGTCGCTATCGGTGGTTAAATCTGTTAGTACGTGCCAGTGGAGCCTAGTAACTTGGCAGTTGATCTTCGCTATCGATGGTCAATCGCGTAATACGTGCGAGTGGGACCTTAACTCTCGTCCTCTTGATCTTGGCAGTTCATCGTCGCTATCGACGGTCAAATCTCTTAGTACGTGCCAGTGGAGCCTAGCCCATGTCCTTTTCCACATCTTTCTCTTGATGGTCGATCTCGTAATACGTGCGAGTGGGGTCTAGCTGACGTCATCTTCCCCGTGCGGCAGTGGCCTGCGTGAGATATGACATGAATTGTCATCGAGAACGTGCGAGGAAGACGGTCTCTAGGGAGTGGAGATTATGTTGCAAGCGGTTTTGCAGCATATGTGTAGAACAGGTCGGTCTTAGATCCGTGTCCGTGGGTAGAGTAATGGTGTATCCATTCACGGCGTGCCATCCGCGAAAGTTCAGTTCTGAATGAGACTGAAATATTGAATGTATCTGAACGTGGAGTTTGCCTTGATGCGTTCCAAATGTCGATGGATGAGTATGTGTCAAAAGCGTGAATGAGTACGATTGGGAAAGAAACGGAATCGTACGAAGATTGAGCGCATGTCGGTCTCTTGTGTTGGTGTTAGCAGGTTGTGGGTGTATCACCCTCTTGCTCGTGAAGGTTCTGCAAGTGCTTGTCATTGTCTTCCCACGAGCACTACGCACCCTTATTGTGGCTGTATCTGGCCGGAAATATAGCTTGTACACATTCAGTTTTAGGGTGTGGTAACGTTCGGGGAAAGACGGTAGCTTTCGGCGGCTTACGAATGAGTATTATGCTCTTCATGTGTTTGGTCATACTAGGTCTTTCGGCATGTTGTCAGTCAAATAATGGTAGATTCGAAACTTCGCTGCGCTTTTGCTGGTGTGCTCATTAAGGATCTGCAAGTGCTTGCTAGCTTTCGGCGGCCTATGAAAGAACCATTATGCTCTTTCATGTGCTCGTCGTAGAACTTAATCTTTCGACATGTTTTCGGTCGGATGGAGGGTAGATTCGAAACTTCGCTGTGCTTTATTTGTGTTTCCACGACCACGGTTTTTTCTGCTCTTTTCCTATATAGCGTGGTGAGGGCTCGTGTCATCGACGTACTCTGTTCACGTTCCGCGTTCTATAGGAAGGTGTTATCTTCCCTGGGCCAAGTCCCACTACCTAGCAGCGGCGAGCTTTTTAACGGCCTGAATCTGGACGTGTTTGTGCAGACGTGCAGTCGATGAAAAACTTCAACGCGATTCCTTTCACATGTGCTCTAAACGCGCATCCATATAGTCGTTGCGGAATTCAGAGCTGCTAGCTGGATTGAATTTCTCACATTCTCCACAAAGACGTCCAGATTCAGGCGTGGAGGGAACTCAGCACTGGACTAAAATTTCCCCCAATCTCCACAAACACGTCCAGATTCAGGCGTGGAGGGAACTCAGCACTCTGCTATCGTAGTGGTACTTCGCCTCCCGACCGGTCCGTGGAAGTCTCATCTCTTTTTGAGATGACGGTCCTTTGTCTCGAGGATGAGCTCTGCGTTTGAGAGAGAGTTGCGGTCGTATCCAAGCGTACGGAGATGAAAAGCGTACGGAATGAAAAGAAAAGCGTACGGAGATGTGTGCGATGGCGAGAGGCACCTCCACTCCTAATGGAGGTGTTGGGCCCACCTCCACTCCCAATGGAGGTGTTGGGCCGTCGCTGCACTCTACTCTCGAAATGTGCAAAACGAGAGTGGATCTTCCGCCAGCTAGATAATGGAAAGATACACCCCCATGATTGTTGTCTTTTGTGCATGTCGAGAGTAGTGCAGCGAGGCCCTTGATTAGTCGGGACATCCCTTATGATTGGACCGATACGGAGAGGGAAAAGATTAGTATGGCCCCTGACGCAAAATCATGACACGCATGAATAGAGCAATGGGCCGCAAATGAAAAGATAAGACGAAAAACAGCGGAAGTGTGTTGAACGAGGCAGTTATATGTCTGTGCCTTGCATACGCAATAGGTAGGTAGCAGGGTGCACGGGCGTTTCCCACTTCCACAAACACGCCCGTAGGGGACTACCTGGGCGTTTCCCACTTCCACGAACACACCCGTAGGGGAACACCTGTACTTGCTTTTGCAAGACGTCTCCTCTCCTTGTGCGTGCATCAAAGCGGCGGAGTTCCACTCTTTGAACAAATGTTCTACCTTCTTCCCCCGAATACAACGTACGGTCATTCATGTAGACTGAGAGATACCCAAAATTCAGCTATAACGACTGTACGTTGTATTCGGGAGAAGACTGAAGAGGGCTTCGGATTGTAGGCTGCATGTAGACTGAAAGATACCCAAAATTCAGCTACCTCCCCTAGAGTTGGCACAAAATTTTGCTGTGAGCAATTCTCCCGTAAGACTTTTCCAGGCTGCGGAATGTGTGAACACACAAAACTATGTTTTTGTTTTTCCGAGCCGCGATCTTCGGTCTGTGGGGTCCCGGAAAATGGTTTGCGGGAGAAGTTTCACCTTTCCATGGACATCTGCTGCAGGCTGTGGGGCCCTGCAAACAGTTTTTAGAGTTTTTTTTTTCCGCGGTGCTGTGGGGTCCAACCCTTGGTAGGATTTGAACCTACAATATCTCACCTTTAGACGAAGTTTTTCCTTTCCGCAGTCCTGTGGGGTCCCAACCCTTGGTAGGATTTGAACCTACAATATCTCACGGGTATATGAGTTTGAACTTTGAACCAATTAAACTCTTATGAAGCCCAGAAACTTGGTCCTGGAGCAACTCAAGGGTGGTACCCATAACTCTTTGGACATATGTTCCCCACAGTTGTGCTGATTTTTAGTGCCTTTGGTCAGGGCTGGTAGTCCAGAAGCTCTGTTGGGTTAACTGTTTCCAGAGTTGTGCAGGATATTTAGTGCGTCCGGTTACGGGAGTCCCAGGAGGGACTGGTGCCAGAGTCGTCCGCGAAACAGACTCGCGTTGCGGATGAGAGGCTGCGACCAGTTGCACCGTTTCAGTGCCTTCGGTCAGGACTCCTGGTCCCCAAGCTCTTTTGAATAAATAAATGTTTTCCAAGTTCTGCAGATATTTAGTGCCTTTGGTTAGGGCTTCGAGTCCCAGGAGGGACCCTGGTGCAAAAGTCCTCCGTGAAAGACTTACGTTGCGAGAGGGCGCGATCAGCAGTTGTTGCACCGTTGCGAGAGTCCGACTAGGCGCACCGCTTACCATCTGCGAAGATGACGAATGTATGTGGACAACAAATGTCCCCGAGTTGTGCAGAGATTTAGCGTCTTCGGTTATGGCTTAGCGAGTCCCAGGAGGGACCGTTGTTGTGCGAGAGTATGCGAAAGACTCGTCTTGTGAGAGAGTCCGTGGGTAGTCGCACTGCTTAGGATCTGCTGCGAAGATGATGAATGTATGTGGACAACGGTGTCCAGGTGCATTTAAAATGTTGGTGGATGGGGAAGCTTTTGCAAGGGGGGTAGGGTGAGGAGTGTAGTAGTTGGAATGGTCCACCCTCGACAGCTGTTGAAAATTTTGTAATTGTTATTGTTATCTTGAAAATAAAAAAGGGCGACGGCCTTCAGACCTACGCTATCAGAGTGGCACGGGGTCACTTGCCTGGCCGGGCCAAAAAAAAAATAAAAAAAAATAAAAAAATTCAGCCTCCTGATGAGTCGGTGAAACTCCGACGAAACAGTTTGTCACAGCCCCTCGTTTGTTGTCCTCTTCTCTCTCTCTGCCTACGGTTTACCGGGCAGTTCTGTTTGTGACGATATATATATATTTTCGAGTTTTATTTTTCATTCTGAATTCGGTGACGAATTTCGATGTGACCCTGAGGCAAAAGATATTGAGTTTATTTTTTTGCATAACATTGTTTTTTTTCGGATTTTTTGGATTGTGTTCCTCCTTTTTTTTTGTTTTTTTTGCTGGGACCTTCCCTGGTCGTTGCACGGGCGGCCCGGCTGGTAGCCTAGCTTCAGACGTGATTGTGGAAGCCGTGGGTGAGGGGTAATTAAGGTCTATGTCATCTGGGTGGGTGAGAGGGGTAATTAAGGTCTTATGTCATCTGGGTGCACGCACATTTGAATCCGAACATGCGTCACAGATTGTTTCAACAGTGCCAACAGTTCGGGCCGCCCGTCACATCCGGGTGTACCAACTGAGCTAGTACTGTCTTCACCACAATTCCAGGTACGGTCATATTGAAAGTTGTGTTTAAACTGAAAAGATACCCCAAATACACAAAACCATAATGACCGTGAGTTGTAGTTCTCAGCAAGTTCGGTTCGGTCACTCCGGGTAGACTGTGAGGACCCCGGCCTCAATTTTCTTATTGGTAATATCAGCCTTGGGCACTGGGCCCTATAATTAAAAAAAAAAAAAAAAAAAAAAAAAAAAATGCCCGAAATACAGCTATAGTGACGGTACGTTGTACTCTGGGGAAGAAGAAGGTAGGTGGAGAATTTGACTGTCAGAGTGTATTTTTTGATGGCGGTCACAGCTGTGCTCACAATTTTGCATCAAAGTGATTATCAAAGAATCTCTCTCTCGAGGAACGAATCCTGCTGTGGGATGATCCCTGCTGTCTGACTGTCGATTAGGATCTGATGGGGCTTTAGTCCAACAAACAACAACTGTCAAGGAGGAATAATTTGATGAAGAGATCAGATAAGAAGGGGTGTAGGAAGTAGGGGTGGAGCAGAACATCCTCTTCTTGGGAAGGGAAGCGATCGATGCGGCCGAGATAAAAAGGGGTCTAGGAAGCAGGCAGGGGTGGAGCAGTGGTACACCTTTGTTGGACAGGGTAGCGATCGATGCCGCTGGCACAGGATTCCTTGGCCACA